ACATTGATCAGAGGGAGATAGAGAGATACAAAGTAACATTGTTTATAGACATTGATCAGAGGGAGATAGAGAGATACAAAGTAACATTGTTTATAGACATTGATCAGAGGGGAGATAGAGAGATACAAAGTAACATTGTCTATAAACATTGATCAGAGGGAGATAGAGAGATACAAAGTAACATTGTTTATAAACATTGATCAGAGGGAGATAGAGAGATACAAAGTAACATTGTCTATAAACATTGATCAGAGGGGGAGATAGAGAGATACAAAGTAACATTGTATATAAACATTGATCAGAGGGGAGATAGAGAGATACAAAGTAACATTGTTTATATACATTGATCAGAGGGAGATAGAGGAGATACAAAGTAACATTGTTTATAGACATTGATCAGAGGGAGAGATAGAGAGATACAAAGTAACATTGTAACAGAGCCAGCCAATCATAGGTCCGGCCTTTTGACAGCAGTCATGTGATCTGTCACTGAACTCAGGTGCCAGTGGCTGAAAAGAACCTAGACCTGCTGTAAGGAAAGTGTCTGATAGCTTTCAGTGTTGGATTAGTGATACATCACCACTGCTTGCGTCAGGGCTGTTCAGGGGAATACTGAGGCAGGGTGCTGTGATGTTTTCAGGAAGATATGTACAGCACCCTGCCAGCCTCTCCAACCAGCATGATCTGCCTGCATTGCATAGAGGAGCACAGAGACTAATTAGGACTAAAGGTGTGTAAAGAAAATAAAAACAATTTTTAATTTAAAAAAAAAATAATGTCACCATGTTGGTAACGCGGATGGCATGGAAGGAAAATATAAGCAGATTAAAGTTTTGCTTGAATAAGAGCAGGGGCCACATTGTGTCCAGTGAGGGCCGCATCTCGCATTGTCTCCAGCCAGGGCCGCATTGTCTCCAGCCAGGGCCGCATTGTGTCCAGCGAGGGCCGCATTGTCTCCAGCCAGGGCCGCATTGTCTCCAGCCAGGGCCGCATTGTGTCCAGCGAGGGCCGCATTGTCTCCAGCCAGGGCCGCGTCTACTCCCTACCAAAGAGAAATAGGAAAGCACGTCAGTAAACATTAGAATAATAAATGCCGCTTATTATATTTTATTCCCAAGAAATGAGACCGATAAAAAACAAATCACTTGCAAAGAAGATTTCCTGAACTCTTCAGTCGGAGTCCTCTTCAGTTTATAATCTGCACCGTGGGGAAGGAGACGGAGGAGCACTTGAAGCTCAGAATCAATCACCTTGCCACGGCCACCCTGACTTGTCCTCGCTTTCCTTCAGCTACTCATACGTCGGTCTCCATGGTAACCTGAAGATACAAAAAGGACGCGGATACTTTATTCTGCTCATCTTTTGCCTTTTCTGGTTCCTCCTTTTATCAACATGCTGCTTCTCTATGCAATGCAGGGAGATCATGGCTGGGAGGAGGGGCCAGAAGCTGTAAATAGCTTCCTGAACACATCACAGCAACCTGCCTCAGTTTTTTATCAAGAGTCCTCAGCCCCGATGCAAACAGTGGGCGGGCTCTTGGGTGGAGTTATGCAAATATCAAAGTGACTTGATGGGTGGGTTGTCAGTCTGGAGGAGTGGATGTTCCAAGGCAGGATGCATTTGCCTACAGACCGCCCTAGGTAACACCCACATGTGACACCGGGGCCTCCCAGATTCAAAGTACTGAAATCCACTGAATGAGGGGGCGGGGCCAGGGGCAGTCTGGCTGGGGAGGGAAGGACTAGAGTGGGGTAGGCAACCTCAGCACTCCAGCTGTGGGGAAGTTACAAGGCGCATGAGGCGCTGCAAGACTCTGACAGCCACAGGCATGACTCCTAGAGGTGAAGGCATGATGGAATTTGTAGTTCAGATAGAAGACTGAAGGGGAGGACGGAGGTCAGATATAAGACTGAAGGGAAGGACGGAGCTCAGATACAGTATATGGCTGCACTTGATTTGTCACCCAATGCTAGATTATGGGAAGGTGGAGGGGGGTCACATGTTGCCATATAACTAGAAGTCATTTTGGATGCTCTCAGGCTCTGGTTGGGGATGAGCACAGAGAACCCATCACTCTGCCCCCCGGTATTCAATAATATTCTATTCCTTGTTTTCTCACAGAAATAGAAGAGTATTCCCAGCAAGAACTCTGCAAGGTGCGTAAAGTCTTCTCTCTCTCCCCCCGCTCTCTCCCTCCCCTATTTTAGTTTTTTATAGGATCTGGTCATTTTTCTGGATAAGCTGGTAAGAGTCTCTCTCTCTCCGTGTTACCGTCCTGTGTATTTTTATATGTGAATTGATTTCTCGTACTCGGTTACAATGTCTATAAATCCGGCACGTTCCGCACAGCTCACCTCTGCCCTGAAACTCATTTTTTTATTCTTCAGTTTTATTTCCCTTCTTTATTGCTGTCATAAGATGGGGGGGGGTCGTCTTAGGCCTGTTTTGTGTCCGATGGGGAATGGATAGTTTGGTTAATACACAGAAACCTGACTGTACACATTTTTATATGACGAAGTGCTCGGTCTGGAGACATTCTTAAAGTAGATCACTAACATCTTATACAGTATACTAAGATGTTAATGTTAAACATAGTTTTTAAAATGTTTTAATCTGCATCCTTAATAATGTGATGGCCAAGTTAGAGTTCCATTCTGTCACTGGAGTGTTCTTTCTTCAGTAGGGATTTCTCCTCCTCCTTCCTCTGTCATGCCCCGCCTCCTCCGCTCTATGGGCCAATTAGACCCTTAATAATTCCTTTTACCGCTGGGGGATTCTCCATTCCTTTCTCCCTTTCTGACCCCCCCCATTTATCTCACATTCTCCTGAGTTCCATGAACACTGACTCCGCATCTTGCCTCCCATGTGGTTTCACCACACACCGTCTGCCAACCCCGCAACACACTTGCAGATCCCCTTCAGACCACCTTGCTCCCCCATACAGCTCCTTTACACAACTCCTTGCTTACCTGCACACCACTTGCCTCCCCCGCACAGCCCCCGACTCCTCTGCACACTCCCGAGCTCTCCTGCACACACAGCTCCCCCCACAGCTTTTTGCTCCGCTGAACAATGTTTTCTTTCCTGCACACCACCAGGTTTCCCTGCACAGTTCCCAGCTTCCCTGCACATCTCCTGCCCTCCCCCTACAGCCCTCAACTCCACTGCAAACCTCCTGCCTCCTCTGGACAGTGCCCAAGTTCCCAGCTCCCCTGAACAATTTCTGCTTCCCCGCACACCACCGGGCTTCCCTGCACAGTTCCCGGCTTCCCTGCACATCTCCTGCCCTCCCCCTGCACAGTTTCCAGCTTCCCCGCACACCTCCTGGCTCCCCCCCACCCCTCCCAGCTCCTCTGCACAGCTCCCAGTTCCCTTTCTCCTCCGGTCTTCTTTTCGGTCAGGTGACATCCTTGGGTCTTCTTCCTCTCCTTGTTGCAGCAGAGGTGGCCGGTCTTTAATTCTCTTGACACCAGCACTGAAGTTAGCATTGCTCTCTACAGTATTGTACTTGGATCACAGGCTCCCATGATGATGCACCCCCGGGGGTGGTGTCCATGACATCCTGGGCGCATGGGAAGTGGGTTAAATGTCACTGATCACCATTCAATCCAAAAAGGGACCAGCAGTGAAGTAGACTTTCTGCAGGAGACCGTGCTGGTCAATAGCTGCTTTTTTATTATATAAATGACTGGTAATGCTTTATAAATCACTGGAGATGTGCTTTACTTACCTGACCACTCTCCCCAACTGTGACTGATGACACCAGAGCCCGGAGAAATACCCGACTATGGGGGGGACACGCAGCAATCCCTCCTGCCTTCCATAATACAGTGCTTGGGGCCTCACCAGCCAATCACCATGCCCAAATGCTGTCACATGGTAGAGATGGGGTTAGGAGGAGGCGGGGCCCGCCTAAGAGCAACCCCGCCTCCTCTTACATCACTGGCCAGCGACCTAAGAGGAGGCGGGGCCCGTTGATAGCAGAGGAGTCGGGGCCCGGGGACCACAGAGGCGGACAGCACTGACAGGTAAAAGATCTCAGACCCTGCAGAGCCCACTATAGAGAGTCTATGGTGGGCTCTGCAGGGTCCCTCTCCGGTGGGCTCTGGAAGTGGCATAACTAGCAATCACTCACGGGGCCCCATACAAAATTTTGCTATGGGGCCCTGTGATTTCTTGTTACGCCCCTGGTTGTAGGCATAGTGGGAATGCTTCCACTTTCACAAAGTGACAACTTGCATAGCATTTTCCAGGCAACCTGGCTGAGACCATGTGACCTAAGTTGCCTAGGCTTTCATAGAGCTCAAAGGCAGCAGGGCGACCCCGATGTAGACGCTTTGATATTACCTACATGCGCCCAGATGACCTGCATACGTTTTAGTAAAAAGGTCCACTTCATGTCCAAGTGTTATAAATACATTTACTACAGCACCAGTAAGATAGACGCACGATGGGCCTACGCAAGAGCGGTATTGATTGGCTGTGATTATCTTTCCAGGGACAGTCGTCATTCAGCAGAGAGGTTCTCAGAGAACAGAATAATCTTCTTTGAGGGGATTGAGGCTCTTGTTGTAATTTGTGTTCTGTGCGGATGAAGAATATTTAATAAATGTGCAGCAAAAATACTCCATAGAGACGCCGGTCGCCGGGGGGAAAATCTCGCTCTATGGCATAATACGGCTTGGCTGGATTAAAGGTCGAGCATTTAGGTCCGGGATTTGGGATTATAGAATGTGACAATGTCACAATGTTGTTCAATTCTCCACAAGGAGTCAATAAAGTATAACAGGGATTTTTGTAGGAAGTGCACCCCATGTGGGTAACCTGAGGGCATAACTAAAATTCACAGAGGCCCCATAGCAAAATATTGAGCCTCCCAGCCAGATTGGTTTGGCAGCTGGCCTTTTGACTTGCACAGTGGTTAGCTTAGCTCAGCAGCACCGTATTCTCTAGTATGGCGGCCAGATTGTGCCTGTGGCTACCCCATTGACTTGTCCGAGCCAAGCTGTCCGCCATAGAAATGAATGGTTGGACAGCTCGGCCCGGGTGTCTCCCCTTGGACTTGCACAGTGGTCAGCTTAGCTCAGCAGCTTCTCATTTACTTGCATGGCAACCAGCAAAGCTCAGCAGCCACCATGTTTTGGACTCGCAGGTCTGCGGGATTCAGGTCAATTATTGGGACAGCCCCGTGGAATCTGACGCACTT